CCCCCCCCTCCATTCATCCCATTGTTGTCCACCACAGCCCCAGTCCTTGGCTCAGTTCGGGCGCCCCAAAATCGATGGGGAGCTGAAGGTGTGCAGCAGCGAGAGGCGCTCCAAGGCGGACAGGTGGGACAGGGGACAGCGAGGGGACATGGGGACAGTAATGGGAATAACGTGGGGACACCACGGGGATATGGGGACAGCGGTGGGAATGTCATCAGGAACACCACGGCGGGGGGGAGGGGGGGAATTCGTGGGGACAGCAGTGGGAATGTCATCATTGAGCATCGTGGGGATGTGGGGACAGACATGGGGACGCCATGGGGACATGGGGACACCCATGGGGACACCAATAGGGACATCTTGGAAAGACCACGGGGACATGGGGACACCAGGAGGAACATCATGGAAGGACCAGGGGGACACAGGGACACCCATGGGGACACCATAAAGGACATCATGACAACACCACGGGGATATGGGGACACCCATGGGGACATCAATAGGGACGTTGTGGAAACACCAGGGGGATATGGGGACACCCGTGGGGACATCGATAGGGACATCTTGGAAAGACCATGGGGACATGGGGACACCCGCGGGGACATCAATAGGGACATCTTGGAAAGACCATGGGGACACCCATGGGGACATCAATAAGGACATCTTGGAAAGACCATGGGGACATGGGGACACCCACGGGGACATCAATAGGGACGTTGTAGAAACACCATGGGGACTTGGGGACACCCATGGGGACATCAATAGGGACGTTGTGGAAACACCATGGGGACACAGGGACACCCATGGGGACATCAGTGGAGGAGCACCACAGGGACATGGGGACACTAGGAGGAACATCACGGAAACACCTCAGGGACATGGTGACACCCATGGGGACATCAATAGGGACGTAGTGGAAACACCATGGGAACATGGGGACACCCATGGGGACACCAATAGGGACATCTTGGAAAGACCACGGGGACATGGGGACACCAGGAGGAACATCATGGAAACACCATGGGGACACCCATGGGGACATCAATAGGGACGTTGTGGAAACACCACGGGGACACCAGCAGGGACATCCCAGGGATGCTGTGGGGTGTGGGGTGGCCCTTGGTGACCCCTCAGTGTCACTGTCCCCAGGTACGGGTTCCTCCTGGACAAGGCTCTGATCATCTGCAAGCGCCGTGGGGACGCTTACGAGGCCAAGGATGTCGTGGATCTACAGAGCCACCAACTGAGGGACAGTGGCCTCGGGCCCAGGGATGGCAAGAAGGTACCATGGGAGCCAGGTGGTGGCCAGGTTTGGTGGCCACGAGTGTCCAAATTTAGTGGCCTCAAGTGTCAGGGTCCTTGGTGACCCCAAGTGTCCAGATTTGGTGGCCCCAAGCACCCAAATCCTTGATGGCCCCATTGAAGTCTGGTGGCTCCAAGTGTCCAGATCCTTGCTGGCCACAAATCTCCAAATCTGATCTCAATCCCACAGCTCCTTGGTGGCCACACTGGGGACTGGTGGCCCCAGATGTCCAGATCTAGTGGCCCCAAGTGTCAGAGTCCTCAGTGGCCCCAAGTACCCAGATCTGGTGGCCCCAATCTCTCTTTTCCTGGTGGCCACACTGAAGTCTGGTGGCCCCAAATGTCCGCATCTGGTGGCCCAAACACCCAGCTCTTGGTGGCTTCATTGAAATCTGGTGGCCCCAAGTGTCCTGATTTAGTGGCCCCAAGTGTCGGGGTCCTTGGTGGCCCCAAGTATCCAGATTTGGTGGCCCCAAGCACCCAAATCCTTGGTGGCCCCATGGGAGTCTGGTGACCACAAGTGTCCAGATCTGGTGATCTCAATCCCACAGCTCCTTGGTAGCCCCACTGTGGACTGGTGGCCCCAGATGTCCAAATCTACTGGCCCCAAGTGTCAGGGTCCTCAGTGGCCCCAAATGTCCAGATCTGGTGGCCCCAATCTCCCTGTTCCTGGTTGCCCCATTGAAGTCTGGTGTCCCCAGACACCCAACTCTTGGTGGCCCCATTGAAACTCGGTGGCCACCCCACATGTCTGATCCTTGCTGACCCCACAGTGGTCCCACACCTTCCTGCTCATCAACACGGCCGGGCTGCAGGGCTACGAACTCTTCTTCAAGACACGTGAGCTGAAGAAGAAGTGGCTGGAACAGTTCGAGATGGCCCTGTAGGTGACCCCACAACATCGGGACCGGTGGGGGGATGCGCCCCACTGTGGGGTTGGTTGCCCCTATGGGGGTCGAGTTGCCCCTTCAAGGCCCCCCCTCCCCCCTACCCCCCTCATTTTTTACCAGCTCCAACATCTTCCCGGAGCACGCCCTGGCGGATGGACACGACTTCCAGATGTTCTCCTTTGAGGACACCACATCCTGTAGGGCCTGCCAGATGCTGCTGAGGTAGGGGGGGCAATGGGGGGGGCTGGGGGAGCGTTAGGGGATGGGGAAGGTCCCAGAGGTGGGGTGAGATCTTTGGGGGGGGTTAAGGATGGGGTAGTTTGGGGTCTGGGTGGGTGAAGGATTGGGGTGAAGGTTGGGTGGGTCAAGGATTGGGGTGGATTTTGGGGGGGCTCAAAGATTGGGGTGAAGTTTGGGTGGGTTTAGGATTGGGGTGGCATTTTTGGTGAGGCTCAAAGATTTGGGTTTAGGTTGGGTGGGTTTAGGATTGGGTGGATTTTGGGGTGTGAAGTTTGGGTGGGTTTAGGATTGGGGTGGAATTTGGGGAGGCTCAAGGATTGGGGTGGACTTTGGATGGGTTTAGTATTGGGGTGGATTTTGGGGGGGCTCAAGATTGGGGTGAAGGTTGGGTGGGTCAAGGATTGGGGTGGCATTTTTGGGGGGCTCAAAGATTGGGGTGAAGGTTGGGTGGGTTTAGGATTGGGGTGGAATTTGGGGGCTCAAAGATTGGGGTGAAGGTTGGGTGGGTTTAGGATTGGGGTGGAGT